TTTCTTCCTTTTCGAGTCCATATATTAAAATGCATTAAAAACAATTGGCTTGGTCAAAAAGATGCAAATAAATGCATGCTGTTCCCCAAATTTTGCCATAATGGAAATCATGAATTAGATAATATCCAAAGTGCCCCATTTTCTACGTTACAGAAACTTCATGCCTTAGAATCTCAGTCAATTTTGAAATATTGTTATAAATTAACCTCAAAGGCACTTTCTCCTACTAATCTTGAAAGGGTAAATGTTAATTTAGTTCTGTGAATTTTTAATGAACACACTATTCAAGGATTATTGACCTTAGGAAAACAGAATTATTTGCCTAATTTTGCAGAAGTTGCAGAATATATAAACATATTTTATATTTGGTGGACAATAATGAATGTTAAAACGTTAAAGGTTGTCGACTTAGAAATAAATACTGCAATCCACTTAGAATGAATGAATAAAATTTTAGATTTCTCTCTGTATTCTGTGACTGGTTACACTCTTGGAATAGCATTTCTGGAAGAAATGGCAAATTAACAAAGGAAACTTTCACTGCTTTGCATAAGACAACCTATGCATTTCTAGAACTGACCAAGTATTGCATAGAAGAATTGAAAATGCTATACATATTACCAGGCAAATTTCAAACTGATCACCTTGAAGCAAGGTTTGGTCAATACCAGCAACTTACTGGGGATCAGTATAATATCTCGATACAGCAAGTGTTTGAGTGTGAAAAAAAAATTAGAATGCAATCAGTTTTAAAATTGAGCTTACCATTTAATCAGCAATGCATTAAAATTGATTTAAAGAATTTACAAGAACCAAACTGGGATGAAGTGACAGAGGAGGAAAAGTTAGATATGTATAAATATAGAATTGATGTTAAAGAGGATGATGTTAATAATTGTAGAGAAGTTCTACCTGTATACACACATCGCACGCATTCTCAAAGATAACATACACTTAACACACACATCCCATTCCTAGCAACCAATAAAACTGTCAAGATGACCAAGGAGGGAATTCTTAAAGTCAGGAATCTCCCAGCCTCTATCTTAAAAACAACTTGAAAGAGGCCGTTTAACCAACACAAGGACTGACCAAAATTAACGATAAAGAACAAATGAAAACTACAGATAAATTTCACTTTCTTTAGAAGCAGTTATTCACTCCTGTAGTTCATTGCTACTAACAAACAGAATTTTTATCTCCTGGTGATGGCCATGCTGGCTAAATCTAGTCGAGAAACCTAATTGAAATAATAAAATAAAAATATTAATATACAACCCAGTGTGTCTGAAAATTTTAATTTTTAAATATTTTTTATTGTTCAAAACACACACACACACACACATATATATATATATATATATATATATATATATATATATATATATATATATATATATATATATATATATATAATAGGTAATTGAACAAAAGAAGTGGTTCTAATTATTTGGATTTGAAAGTTGAAAACGAGAAAACTTCCGTAAGGCGAAACTAATTTTACCAAGATCTACATAAAATGGATACATTATTTATTTTGGGGGATATGACCATTTATAAACTAAATTACTTATATTAAAATTAATTTTTATATATATATATATATATATATATATATATATATATATATATATATATATATATATATATAAATATATATAATGTTCATACATGTTTGGATTACGGGCCGCAGACAAATAATGTTTTAAATCTTTTGCGTGACCTTTCCTAGTCAATTATTAATGACTACAATGAATCTACAAAAGTTCTTGATCGAACGTTTTCGATGATTGGTTTATCCATTATGAAGATACAAGGCCTTATGTGGCAAAAATTGTTTATAGATGTTAGTTGTTTTTATATATACAGATCGTTATGCGAACAGTGACAAATTTAAGTAAATTAAAAAATTCTCTGTCTCTTTAATTAAGAAGCTGTTATAGCAACCTAATTTTAGTAATAGTATCTATGGTCATTTAAGACTTTATTGCACAATGTTGCATTCACATAGGTGCATTACAAAAGAAAAGACAGATGTAAATGCATATAGACGTTGAAAATAGATCATGTAAATTTTATGAACGACTTGACTCAAGAGAGACATGTAAATTTCTCACGTTAACTGAACTAAAGGCAGTTTGAATAAACTTTGGAGACATCATCTTAACTTTTTATATCATTTGATTGAAATTGCATAATGAGAACAGTGAGCTTTGAGAAAAGAATGAAAATCGAAATGTCACAAAGAATGGATCTATTATTACTCTCTCTATGATTGCCCTCTATCACTTCTGGACATTCAAGGCATAACTATTTAAGCCATTCAATTATTTTGTAAGAAAACCAAAAGACATAAACAGAAGTCTTTGTTATGTAATTATAATGATGTTGTTAAAGCTTACAGTTCAGAAAATCACCGATGTAAACTAAAAGAAAAATAATGTAAATATTCAGATTGGACAACACACACACACACAAAAAAAACTTTTTTAAAAGATCTTCAATAGTAATATAATATAAATATATCTATAACTGACAATTTAATCTAATTTAAATCAACTCAGTTTCTGTTAAAGAAGAAATTAAGCGTCCGAAATCGAATTTTAAAGATCAGACATGAATTATTAAATGCAGAACTAACATCTAACACAATACACCCAAGACAGAAGTAAAATAAATTTTGTACAGTATGAACACCCAGCTGGAGTGACTGGTTGACTATTGGAAACTCTTCATAAATTTGTTTTAGGTTTCTTCCTCGGATTTCAAGAAGGTAGCACTTGTTGGCAAGGTGATGGCTTTTGTTTTTGTGCATTCTGAAGACGTAATCATGATAGACAACCTAGAAAAGGGGAAAAAATTATTAATGGACAGTTTCATGCGCCATAATTAAGACAAGTGAAAGAAGCAATCAAGTCGAAACGTAGAAGGAATCTGAGGGCAGGTGTGCTCTTGCTCCAAGATAACTCTGCCCGTTCACACTGTTTAGGTTCCAGTAGACGAAACAGCCAACTGTGGCTTTGAATTGCTACCCCCATCCCCACTTAGCTCTATATGATTTCTTCATGTTTCCTAAAATCAAATCCCTCCTGCGTAGTCACTATTTTGGAAACACTATTTTTGAAAACCAGTACGCCACTTTCTTCCGTGATGGAATTGCAATGCTTAAGCTTCGTTCGACCAAGTGCATTGATGTCAAGGGGGACTATATTGAAAAATAGTGAAAAATGTCTTGTTTCTCTAATTCCTTCTGGTTGAGGTTTAAAACTTTTTGAACGCCCATCGCATATTCGTCTACTTGAAGAAAAAGAAAAAAAAATTAATCCTGTAAAAACGGCATTGTATTGATTTTTCTGGTTTGGGGGTTTGAATGTAAACAAATATATATATAACCGTTCGTCACATAAGAGAGTATAAGGCATAATCAAAGCCTGAAAACACTCGGCGTAAGTGTTGTGATTTCTGTAACAAGCAGGTTTTTACGGGATGAAGATGTTATCCCTATTACCAAACAGTTTTGAATTCATAGTTTTTCCAGTATCAGTCTATATTTCTGATATGAGGTATTATGTACACTATTTACATTGTTCGGACTGTCATCCTCATCTTTGTTGTCATATTTATCACAACGTTTCAGCCGTTGTACTCTCCGGCCTACTTCAGGTGGTTGGAATGTCGAACTGAACACTTTATTTCGCTCTCTGGGGTAGACTGTTCTAGTTTCGCGTACTATCTCTAATGGATGTCAGTTATCAGTTATCTCCTGTTTATTCCCCTCCCCAAGTTCGTCACCGCCTTAACCAGATATTGAACTCACACTCTTTGGGTCTTGTCACTGGATCTAACTAACGTCTTTATCCACTGTGCCATGTGACATCAATAATACATGGCACGTGGAACTAGAACAGTCTACTCCAGTGAGAGAAATAAAGGGTTCAGTTCGACATTCCAACCACCTGAAGAAGATCGGAGTGTACAACGGTCGAAACGTTGTGATAAATATGGCAACAAAGATTAGTATGATAGGCCGAACAATGTAAATAGTGTTTATAGTTTTCCTTCTTCTAGACTGAATGCCAACCGAGGCTGAAGAGATCAGTCTCCCTTACTATATAACCCATAGCTTAGATGGAGGGGTGATGGATTCATATCACCCCCAAGTGTATTTCTGCCGAATTAAATCTAACGAATTCGACTGGTATTCGAAACTTGGCCCACCGAATTCTTGTCCTGGGCAGCTAACCATTACAAACCGGTGTATTCATTAATCTAAAATAACTTCCGAGACAAAATCTCATGGTTATCTATCTCAATGTATTTAGTTTTGGTTAGTTCTTTCAAAATTCCAGCCGAGGTCATTACGTTCTCTATCGTACAAATAACCTTAGAAAGGTATGACTTCATCTCTCCTTTCTCCAGCTATGGGTTATATAGTAGGACAGACTGAGATCTTCAGCCCTGACTGGTATACCGTTTCGGATGAAAGCTCCAAATTTTATACCGTTTGAACGTGAGGCTATCAACGTTATCCCGTAAAAGAATTGTTACGTAAACCACATCAGAAACACCTAGTGTGAAGAGGCGATTGCTATATACTCCACAATTGGAGCTTACAGGGTTAACATTATTTTCACAATAATATTCACCCTGTATACTAATAGGCGATCGAGGTAGAGGGTTATAGAGTAAGATTAGCAGTTTATGAGTATATATGGGAAAGATAAAGGTTAACTCGCGACTTAACCTCGAACAGGTTAAGATTGTAGTCATCAAGGAAGCATCTTGGTAGTCGGTTCCAAAGATGAGCGGTTCGTGGGAAGAAGCTGCTTGAGTAGAACTTACAGCTCACAAATGGAGTACGATGAGAATGAGGGTGGTTTCTTACAATGGATATATAAATACAGTCGTTTCATCCTGTTTATTATGTATCATTATTAAACTTATTTCAGTACAATGCAGAGCTATGAAAGAGAAACACCCAATTTAAATAGGACTCAGTAATGTTGTATTGGTCTGTTGGAGAGCATGATAATCATTACTACACAGCTTTTCTTAATATGAAGAAGGACAAAACTGTTTGTTCATTATCTATCTATCTATCTATCTATCTATCTATCTATGGAAATGTGTCTATATATATCTACATCTATCTCAGTCACTTTACATCAATCTTTCTACATACGTGGAGCAATGGAAACTTGTTTTGGAGGCCATTAATACTACAGTGAACTCAGTCCTCACTAAAAGGCCAAAACTTGTGACTTTGTGCCATATTGAGCTATACTCAATAAATATCAATTACGCAGCAAGGAGAAGGGTTGAAGGTGCGAACTACGAATTGGCTACATGAAAACCAAACAAGGGCAGACATTTAACTATTTGTGAATTCCTGTAACAAACAACCGAAAATGTGACATTGAAATTTGAAGTTGAATTGAAATAGCAAAAAAGGCCTTCCGAAAGCTAAACAAATTATCAAGAAACAAGAAAATCTCGTAAGAAACAAAGAAAATATGTAAAATAAAACCTCCTTAGATGGTACCTAGAGTTTTTTTTTAAATTTAACCGCAGTACTAGACTGGCGTCGAGATCTCATTAATTTACAGTTGAGCTGGCTAGATGCAACTGTAAGTGCTATGCTAACAGTATCTTTTCTCGCACTTCTCGCTTGTGGAACTCTCTTCTAGCTCCGTGCTTTCTAGCCAACTTTAATCTACAAAAATTTAAATGCCATGTCAATCGCTATCTACAGTCCTACTGATTACTCTCTCCTCTTCCCACTCATTATTAATGTTTCTTCCTATGACTTCTTGTGTATTAGTGGCTTTACTGCCTTGCTTGGGGTGATACTGATTTTTTTAAAATATGGCAATGAATACTGAACAGATGAAGAAGTGATTCGAGACAACAGACATTTGGTTCTACAGAAGAATGCTGAAAATACCATTTTTAATCATTTCGCCTCAAGCAAGGAGACAGAGGCACTAAGGTTCAATGCGTGACAGAGCGTGAAGCAAACTGAGAAAATTTTATTGAGCAAAAAGGACAATAAAAGAACAGGATTCAAAAAGGCAGAAAACAAATATTGATGTCGCATTTAATTTTTGAAGGTCATAGTTTACAGGAAAGCCAGAAGTGAAAGAGGAGAAACTCTTAGCACGCATTCACCGAGGAAGTTTTAAGGAAAATTAAAACAAAAAGGATACTTATACTTTGAATCAGAAAGAGACAGTCGAAATTTCTAAGATACAGAATGAGGAAAGAGGGTTTGGAAAATTTGACACTCACAGGACACATTGAAGGCAAAAGGGAAACAGTGGCCAACCTATATAACAAGCTTCTGTAAATGGCTGGTAGACCAAGAAGTTGGAAGGATAGTAAAAAAAATAACAACAAAAAAAATATTGCTAAGCGCTACAATGGATAAGAAGTTGTGGAGAGCCATGCTCATCCACGTCCTGAAGGAACACCGCCCATAAAAGAATCGCCATCATAATTTATTTCCTCGGGCGAAATCATTTTATTCATTTCACCCGAAAGTAAGGCAATAAAGCCACTAAGACGCAAGAAATTACTGAGTGTGAGAGAATATGAGAAAAATAAAACATTATTAAGGAGAGAGAACAATAAAAGAACAAGTATTAAGAAGACAGAAGATAATGACTGACGATGTATTTAAATTTTTGAAGATCAAAGTTGATTGGCAAGCAAGAAGCCGGAACAGAGTTCCTCTAGCGAGAAGTGAGAGAAAAGAAACTGTTAGCATAAAACTGACATTTAACCATTTCAACTCTAAAATGATGAAACTTTACCGCTAATCTATTAATGCGCTTAAATTCATAAATGATAGGTATCAAAGCAGAAAGTTCATCAGAACAATTATCATGAAAATTTTTATAGAAAAGGATTTCATTCACTTTCTAATCTTGGCTATTTTAACCATTTTCTTCTTTTAAGTACATTTTCAGTTAAATGTTTGTCCCAATAGTAAATTATTATTATTATTATTATTGTTATTATTATTGTTGTTGTTGTTGTTGATGGTGATGATGTTGTTTGTTTGTTTTTGATTATGCAATATTAAACTCCTGTGGGAAATAATGGAATTCAAAACTTCGTCCATTGCTAATATCGACAAACCCCTCACCAAAAAACACGGACATCAACTCACAATTAATTAGACCAAAAGGTTTTGATATTAAAATTATTTAGAAATTCGGTCAAATTCCAAGAGAGCACGGAATTATTAAGAATATTTTGTAGAATTGCAAACAGACGAAAAATAAATAAAAACTGATGTTTCGTAAGACTTGTCGAAAAAGCTATCACCACCCCTTATATATGTGTGCGTTAAAAAATTAGATTCATGGTATGCTATATTTATGTGTAAAAGTACTCAATATCAGAGATAGAGCTTATGTAAATATAAAATATGAAATGGACACTAAAGTCAACACCAAGTGGCGATAATATATATATATATATATATATATATATATATATATATATATATATATATATATACTAGCAGCATGGCCCGGCGTTGCCCTTGCTTGATTCAAAAATCGTACGACTCATACAGCAATCGCTATCACTTGACATAAAATATTTTTCCCTTCCTTTCCTTTAAAGGAGTGCCCTTTGCCGTGCTGCTGTTGCTACATGCCTTACTTCTTGTCTATCTCACACTGCGAATTTTTTCTAAGCTCTATATTAAACATTGTTACGAAAAAAGAACTAAACAAAATGAACACAAAACGATCAGCTTTAAACAAGGACTCGTAACTGGAAAAACCGAATGAAAAAAGAATGTTAACAACAAATACTTTTTCACACCCAACCCAGTTCTGCGGAATCAGAATCAACGTTGAGTTTAAGCAAGCGAATGAGCCAATTGGAGTAAAGTGCCATGCAGATTTAAATTTTCCCCACTTGTGACGAATGCAGCTATAGATTTTTTTTGCATGCTAGCATGCTAGTTAAAATTCGTGTCAGTCAGCTGTTGGTTCTCATGCTGGTCAATAGAATCTTCCTGCTTATTCATGGCAGCCAGCTATAGGCTCTCACTCTGGCCAGTAGAAAATGGCCGCATGAAAACTGCCGTAGAAGCATAAAAAAAATCGATTATTTCCACTATCGATGGGAGTTGGGAAATACAAAGTCGGCCTTGGCCTTCCCGCTAACTTGGAGCACGTGCATGTAAATTTTGGTGCAAATCCGTCGAAAATTGTGGGCGTGCATTCGTTACACACATACACACACATCCAGCCTTTTATAGATAGATATATATATGTATGTGTGTGTATATATATATATATATATATATATATATATATATATATATATATATATATATATATATACGTCCTCCGGCAGGATGCGAACCTGTGACTCCTAGAGGAAACCGTCATTAGATCTAACGTGCCTTTAACAAACTCGGCTACGTGGAATTTTTGAAATTGCTTTGAAATCAAGCAGATATGGGCTTTTGAGAAAATCTGAACGAGGACATGCATTCCTTATAAGAGCAAATAGAACTTTGCTTAGCTATGACGCTGAATAATGTGTTTTTTCCTTCGAAGGAGACTAAGGTTCGAACCCTGCCGAAGTGCATATTTTCTTTATTAAGCTTTTTTCGCGTGCGCAGGCCAGTACACGTAATGAGAAAGAAACTGTGTCCACTCAAACACGTGTAGCCACTAAAAATAACCTTTGAAGTAATAAAAAATACACATATATAAAGAATAAATGTAACTGCAAAACCTTATATGTTAATAGAAAATAAAGCGGATTTTGCTAATATTTCGATGTTTATTTTCATCATCCTCCGAACATTATGCATATTAATCAAATCGTCGTTGTCAGCTTCCTTTATGATGATGGTGTTGATGACTACATTCATTGCCAACATGCAGGTTCAGGACTAGAAGCTTCCAATTTTACCAAAATATGCTTCCGTCATCCATTCCCTATCGCCGTTTGGCTTTGTAAGATTTGGTTGGAGGTAAAAGTAAATCTGAGTAGAAGAAAATGCCAATGGCGTGAATTTGTTTAAGGTGGACCTCAATTTGCCAGGAAGTGATTCATACACTTGATTTCATGACCTTCCTCTGCAGCACATTTGGAATGAGAATCCAGTTATGAAACTGCAACAGACTTCCACTGACTACATTATAATTTCGAATTGCGCCTTCTGTAGCATGTCCGTCATGCGTAGCCCTCTTCATCCGCTAGTTCAACCGTTGAGATCATTAATTAAATACTAATAGCGTAAAGGATGGGAGTTTTTGGAACCCAAAGTCCAGGTAATATGAACAGAGCGATGATATCTTTTTAAAGTTTTTTTCACCCAATACAAGGCTCAAGAGCCATTTAAGGTAGTGGGTTACTACATGAAGTTGTTGTATGAGTTCATTTTGTAGACATATATAGGAAAAAATAACGGTTAACCATCGACATGAACATGTTAAAAGAGAAATGGTCGGGAAAGCATCCTCACAGGACATTTAATACATCTGTGGAAATCACTTCAATAGCAAATAAAAATTTTAAAAGAAATAATTTTCTTCGAGAATATGTTCCTCAAAAACTTGGGTGCCACAATTTACTTCAAACGTTATTTCAAATAGACATCCCATATTTCAAATAGACATCCCATATTTTTTTTATTTTAAATAGTGGGCATTATGTCTATTGGATTGCTTATTCGAAAAATCTTAATAAATAAAATGTGCTCTCCGACAGGAAACGATCCTGCGTCGCCCTTTGTTAGTGAACCCACCGTTTGACCCAGTGTGCTTTACCACTGTGATACGAATAACATCACAGAAGAGCAAAGTTGCATTTTCCTTTTTAGGAGAGCATATTTTCTTAATTAACTGATGGCGACATTCTATCGGAGAGATGAAATTAACATTTTTATTATTGCATTATTCCAAAATTTTAACACATCAGCAGATAGCTATTAATGTCAGCAACTGAGCACAAATAGTTATTAATTTTTAAAAAATTAGTAATTAATGTATATTATCCATAATTACATTTAGAAGAATGTCGTTTTTGATAAAAGTTAAAAACTAACCATAAATACGTAAAAATGCGTATATTGTCGAAAATTCTTTTTCCCACAATATAGCTATTTGTGATATGTTATA